TTCGACTTTTGTGACTTTGATATTCCTCCCTCTGTGAAGCCCGAAGCCAACTTAAGGGCTAATAATAACTATCACAAAGCCTACCATTTGATGTTAATAAATTGTAATTCATACTCATGACAGCTTTCTCTGCTACTTTTTCACTATATGATTCTATTCCATCATCCATTTATATAATTTCTTGGCCTATTGTTCATTCGTCTAATCCTATACGCGGTATCTGCTTTCTGTCCTCTGTATGTGAATGCTTATCGACACATCTTTCAACGTGCATCTCAGAGATCGCTAAAGTGTCACTATTCTATTAATTCTTAGGGCTCTATTGGACTTCTGTTGTATTGGTTTGCGCCCTGAATCAATTAAAATTCCACTACTAGTGAAATGCAATTTCCAACAAGAACTTCACCACTGTTGAGCATAGATTTAGTTAATTTTAAACAAATTGAAACAAATGGGATCGCGAAGTAAGCACTCGCCGATCCATTATGGTAATAGTGAATGAGATTTAAGGCAAATTGAAATGTTAATTTACAGTTTTAACCTGACGAAATGGACTATTGTGAAATGATAAGCACTTTCTCACACTATGTACCATATTTTTCTCGGTCAGTCTGCATATCTTCCATACTTTTGTCCTCCAAACCATCTTTCCCACGAGATGTCGTTAATCAAGTCATAAATTAACCACCTTTCCTACACGCAACTCTTCTTTTATTATAAAGTTCAACTCATCTCCAACGAACTCATCGGAGTTATCTGAAGCATGACAGTATTCAATATGCATGTCCAATTTCATCAGTGAGGTTTATGTAATGGACAATGTTACTATCTACTACTGAGCATGCATCCTAAGTTGTTAATCACCTGGTTATTGATGAAAGAGAGAGCGACCGAGCATTCTATTTACCCATCAACAACCTCGATTTCCCCCCTTCAAATTTTAAAATCAAATTTGTTTGAGTGAATAAACCCAATTATTAGTTTGGTGACAATGGCGATTTAAGCGTTACCTCATTGATTTTGGAAGGTGTGGCGCTCATTCGTTCGATGTATGTTGTATATATCAGGAAAAGGCCTTTTATTTATTTATTTTCTACTTTAGTAGCGGCAATATAGCTGATCATCCTAAATTATTAATCCAAATAAACGCTTATTTGTATTTACAAATTTTGTTTTTCAACACAAAATCACTTCCCTACAACTCGAACTAGTTTCCTTCACATGTGTAACTGTGACTAATTTTTTGACACGAACAAGCGCAGTATCTAATCAAGTTTATAATATGTATTTTGGCTACATATATTTTTTTCAACCCACCTTAAATGAACTCCGTTCACTAATTCTCTTCCCCCAAGGGACTGCTCTCAACCTTCCCTACATGACCAAATGAATGTAAAGATATTATTGATTCTTTCGATGTTAAATAATGAAATCAATGCACGAAATAGTATAATACTTTCAGTAGATATTCATTTAAAGTTATTATAATCATTACACTAAAAATAATTCTGTGTGATAGTGTAGGGATAAATAGGAGGAGTTTGAATCCTTTAAGTGCAGGAGGCCATCAGTATTACTGCTGAAGCCTAAGATCACATCACCTCAGAAATTTCAGTTACAAAACCAGAATGACAATACCTTCGATAATATCGGTATTTCCCCAAACTGTCAACGTGGCACACATAAATTCAATTTGGTAATGCCTAAATAGGCGATTTTATACTTTCTTTAGATTATATAATTAGTGCTTCCGACTTAAACTTAAAGTTTAGTAGCATTGTCAAAATGGGCATAGAAAGCAGGTGTCTGTTGATCAGAGAGTGCGAAAAACACTGTGTTTTAGAGTATTTCTATTAAGAAAATTGTGAAGCTTACCAATTAATTCTAAAATCATACAGAACCGTGTCGTAATTGTGAAACTATCGTTTTGGGAACAATAACTCACTCATGATAACTTTCGATGTTGACCAATGCCTATAAATGCAGAAATGTGTCTGCATCAACAAAATCACATTGAGAGAAAAATGCAACATTTCGTAAAAGATCTTTGATTGACAAAACGTTCGGATAAATAATTTGCTGGGAGGAACAGTTGGTATTAAGGCAGATAGCTATACAAATAAGCCTTTACTAAATCCAAACGATCCGTTCATATAAATTTGCTACCGAAATCAGGTAAGCTAATTCGAAAAAAATCGACGATGCAGGCAGTATAGGATTCAGCGTTTATCGCAAATTATGTTCACGACAAATATGATTGGCAATTGGATAGATTTAACTTAAATCCAGTGAATATCAATAGCTTATTATACGAGAAGGCTAGCGACTGCATTCTCCAGAATGATCGAATACGCAAGAGACTGCTTACTTTGATTGTGTACTTTACGATTCCTTACAAAGCCAACAATACCATTCCAGTAGAAATTTTGAAAAATAAGGCAAATAGTGTTATGATGGCGACAAGACAATTCTTTCCAGAACATTCAATATAATTGGAAGAACACCTCAGCAAATGTGCCGAACTCACTTGAATCCATATCAAATAAGAGTATAGAAGAAGAAGAAGAAGGAGGAAGGGAATAAGAGAAAAGGAGGAGAAATGAAGTGGAAGAGAGTTCAAATTCCTTTTATCATGCATGTTCACTTGATTTGTGTGTATCGACGGAGTTCCGAGATGAAAAGCAAAGAGAATGCGAAACCGAAGGCATTTCCCACGCAGGCCACGAATGACGAAATGGACATCATTAGCATCTTGTGATCGAAGTACTCCTTCAGAACAAATACACACCCCTAGACAAAAATAAAAGAAGACCAGGGCAAAATTTCATAAGAGTATCACATTTGTCAATTCTATGAGAGCCGAAAGCTACAACGTATGGCCATAGGAAGCATCGAATTCTCACGGTCCTGTTAGTCTTTCTGCGGATTATACATACTGAGATATTTTAGACTTTTATTAATTCAATGTGATAGGCGAATAATGGTTGTGTTGCTATTAACTAGACAAATCCCGATTCACCATCCTACTAAATGAAACCAGCCGTCTAGAGCAGATTTAAAGAGGAATTATTACAGGAACACAGACTTAGTTTGATATCAGAAGCATCAAGGGTTGTGATGCAAAGGCTCCACAATGAAAACCCGGAAGATTGAAGGAACTCCAGGTGACAGCTTAAGAATGATTCCAATTAACGTAGTTGTTCGTCGTTTTGAAATAAACTATGGGTAGTTCACAGGTATTTTCATCTATCTACTAATCTAACCCAGTATTGCTCTCTTGTTCAGATTATTCCATTCAAAGGACATACAACTCGACTTCTTTCTTGGCTGGAATTTGTGGGAAACATGGCTGAACCAAAGAAACCTTTGCGTGCTCGAAAATTGTACTCGATTATTTGGGCAGTGTTTGTCTTCAGTTGCGTTATTGATGACATTTAGCTTGGCTATTAAATATCGTTTGGGTACGATAACACTGCAATGACTATTGATTGGTCGAGAGGTCTACGAACCCGTGACCTCATTTGCTCCCCAAAGCGATCAGCATCTGCCCACACGTTCCAGAATGTTTGGGTTAACCCTTTTAGCGTTGTGTCCCCTTCTACGTAAGTCACTATACCACTTATGAACACATTATTATTCTGTTTTATACATATTAAGAATATTGACCATAAACCATCATTTTTAAACAAACTTTATTCTGCAGTGGAATAATCAGTATTAGACTGTGAATAATTTTCATCCTTTAAACATAACGAATTTGGCATAAAGGCGCAAAATATCATCATCATCTTACACTCAAAGGAGATATAAAGGAGGCCTCTTGTTAATTAAGCTTGAAATATACAGAGCCACTTCAAAATCCATCTTGAGGTAAATTTCAGGAGTTGGTGTTATTTAATCAATGATGACTAAAAGCACACTTTATAAACTACCGTCAATCCTAAATGACTTTAATTGAAATAAATGACGAATAGAAAGAAATAAAAACAACTGAAAATTAAGCACATTTGTAACTTCCCAATTTCATAAGATAAAGATAAATTAGCATGACTAACAGATAAGCACTTGAAATCAAATTTATGTGAAATACGTCGCTTTGATTGGGTTATAGTAACTCGCTAGTTCTGAGTTGGATAATGAGACCAATAGCAAAGTTAGAAATAAAGAAACACGTATGGTTGATTAAACCTAATGAGCAGTATTTGGTTCTATTGGCATCCTCAAATCGTCAGTTTCAGGCACAATTATTAAATAAAGAAGAGTTAAAATGAACTTATTTTTATTGACAAATGAAAAAACCAAAATGCGTTCCCTTTAAGTTGAGTGAGGACAGTAATTACATTAAATCATTAATTCCTTTGAGTTTAAAGAGTTACCTTAAAGAAAGGCCAAGTGAGCTAATACTTGAATCTAGGTTGCCAAGTTTGATGAATAAATTCATACCTCTGTCTTTAGCAGAATGTGAGGCGGATACCAATATAAGTTGACCTTAAGGTCCCGCATTCTATAGGACATAAAAAGTATCTGCAGACAAGTGCAACTACCTTCTAGCAAGATCCTCTGGCATGATCCCAACCCCCTCCCCACCCACAAATGGCTAAATTATGTTAAAAGCAGTGAGGCGATATCACATAAGAGCTTTCCTGCTAATGTCGAGTAATTATGAGTACAGATAACACTACACCACACAAATAGAATATTGATTTCCGATTGGCAGAGAGGCCACTGGAGTATTTTCTAGCTTCTTCAGTTAGGTATAAATAAAGTAACTTGATATGACCAACCACTGCAGTAAACAGACAGATCAATAAGTGCAGAACATCAATGGAATTTAAACAAGCAACAATTAACGAAATATGAAGCATGAAATTTATCATGAAATGCCGATCAACTGGATTGCCGAACCTTCATTACTTCCTTTTTTCCTCAAAATCATTTCTTCCTCTTAGTTTTGTCTCTTAACCCAAATTTAATTGGTCTATAGACAAATTTCAAGGTTCCATATAAAAGGCAAACATGTGTACACGATTTGAGCACTGCTTCAGTACCTATTGCAGGAGAAATTAAAGCTTCAACACATAATCCCGTAAGAGGTACTTACGGATTCAAAGCTCATAACACATTCAAGGGTGAAACATAAATCATGAGACATTTAGAACTAGGGGAAAACATAAAGACAGATTGAATAAGCAACAAATTCGGTAAAATTTTATTTCGAAAGGAACTAGAATCTTACAAGACTTCAGAAAAATTCGTGAAAGTGATAGCTCCTAATCTAAAGCCGCCATTTTATTGGTCATAGTGTAGCAAAAATTGTAAGAATGATGATGGACTCAGTAATTATACTTTGTGAATACAAATTTGGATTTCGCATTGTGATGGGGGTCTGTCTGTTCCAGTTTTAGCAGACAGCTAAGCACAAGAAGGGACTATTCTAGGACACATCCTATAGCCCAAATTTAGGACAGGGTGCTGGCAAATGATCATACAGAGACCACTCTAAGTACACTTGTATTTCTAAAGAGTAACGCAAGAACACAGTACAACGTTCAGCAACACAGGAAAGTACGGTGTTTAAATTTCGAGTTTTCAAAATGGCAATTCGATAGAATCGAGATGGAAAAATCAATTTGATCAGGTAAGAAAATGGTTACCGATTGAACCAGAAGCGAAAATGATATTTAAAGGAATAAACAAATCAAACAGTAAGTGAAAGAGGCCTGAGATAGGAAACATCAGGAATGACTACTCAAAGATATAGAGATGTTAAATCAGTGTCTATTAAATGAAATCCTTTTCCGAGTTCATGGAATTATTAAAACATGAAAAAAATTAATTGGGCAAACGATTCTTCCTACTAATGTTAGGAATTCTTTAACAGAATTGTCAAAATTCTGGTTCTAAATTCGAAGATGTAACGATAATAGCAATGATGAACTAACGCATACATTCAATTGAAAATAGAATAAAAAAATCAACTCAAGGTCAAAGCACCAAGACTCCAATTCAGAAATAAGGAACAAAGAAGGATTATCAAAGTGATATGATTTCAACCCCAACCGTAACCACAACCGAGGTATGACTAGAAGAATTTGTTACAAACGAAGAAGAAACTTACTACACAACTAATTAATGAAACAGGTATGTGTTTAGAGGGATGAACTAAAAATAAAAGAAGAGAGAAGGGGACTCAGAGGTCATAGTTTAATTAAATGAATTGGGGACTGTCGACATGCGAGATGCAAAATTGCAATATACTTAAATAATTCCGAAGGGAAAAATGTAAAAAATAACAATTTGACAAGAAACTAATATCAATTTTTAAAATTATTGAAAAAATACAAGCGATGTACCTTCGGATAAATATCCTTATCCGCACATGGCAGAGTAGAACAGCATGAAGGTGGAGTAGTCTTATTTTTTGCATGATAATCAACCACACTATTAGCTCCACAGCATTCATACTAAAAAAGCAATTAACATAGAATAGATCACGCATACCTGTTTCTGAATTTGGTTTAGTTTAGTTGTTGCGTTTTGATCATTTTCGTAGTCGCTTAAAAGATCATTGACACTGGTCTCAGCGTACTTTTCCAACTAAAATGTGTTTTATTTCAAGCAATAATTTACATTCGCTCTCAAGATTGCTGCTGCAATGGCTACACACAATTCAGTCATCAGCAATATGCAAGTGAATGCGGCATACTATGAAAATATAAGTAAATTAATAATATAAATCAGCTTACCATTTTAATCATACATAAGTTATCTGTTTTGCTTCCGTAAACACCAAGAACACATACCAATACTATTACAAAACCGCTGCATAGAAGAACGATAGGAATGATGATATAATCGTGATTCTTAGTAAAATCGTGGTATTGAAAACTGCTTATGAGATAAATTCCAATACCAATAAGACATAAGCTAACGCACTTAAAAATAAAAAATACGTGGCCTTACAATTAAATAGACAATAACAATGTGGTGCAACACTTTTATACAATTTAACGAGGCATTCTTGGTGTTAGCTGAGCCCATCGCCGGAATCTTAGTTCAACTTGAACACTTGGCAATTACCTTCAAGGTAGCTATAACGGTGTCAAATCATACAAACAAATGCTATACGCTAATTAAATAAGAAGAAATAATGATCAAATGAAAAGACATAATATTTTCCCATCTGAAAAAATTAAAGCAAAGAGATTATTTGACATTTTCCATGGGTCTAACTTAATTGAATAAATATATTGCGTTTCAATGGAGGTGTTATTGGAAAATATAATGACGAACTATTAATATCTATAAGTTATCAGTTATTTAAACTTGATTTTATATAAAAATGATCTAGTTAGTTTAATGACGAAATGGACGAATATGTTTTGTTGAATATCCTCCTGTTTACCAGGCCTCACACCACTAGATTTTATTCTATGGGGGTACTTAAAAGGCGAAGTCACTGAAAAAAGAGAAGCAATTGATTTTGAATGAGTCTAAATCCTAAGGGAAGTATTTCATGATGTGTGCGATTCCATTGCTTGACATTGCCAGAAGTGTTTCGTCGTCAGTTTGTAAACAAGCAGTGGAAAACGATAAAATTGTGCATGTAGAATATTTTTAAGCATTAGATATTATGAAATTCTAATTAGACGCCACGTTTGAAATTAGTCTTAACGTGTATAAACGCGTTGGAACACCCTATATTTATCTTTTCATCACACTTCATTAAGCTTTTAACGGATAAAATTACATTAATTCATATGTATTTTAAAATAAAAGACGTTGTTTTAATCAGTTCATGAGAGTTATTGTTGGAGTACACATTGAACTTTTCCCCTGATATCTAATTAAAATGTTATCAATATTCATTTACATTTTTTGCGCTTTTAGAAAAGTATTAAATGGAAAGAAAAAGCAGTGATCGGTGCAAGATTTTCACTATTTAAGCATATCGAATTATTAGGTTAGCAATTAAGTCATTGCCGATTTCAAATAAGAAGGCAAATT